AACCCCTGAACCCCTAAACCCCCAGACCCCTGAACTCCCAAACCCCTAAAACCCTGAAGCCCTAAAGCCCTAAAGCCCCAAAAGCCCCTAAAGCCCTAAAGCCCTGAACCCAAAGCCCTAAACCCTAAACCCTAAACCCTAAACCTTAAACCCTTCAACCCTTAAACACAACCCAAAGCCGTGGAGGCCTCTGGTGTGTCTTCGAGCTCGCCGCCTTCCGGAAAGCGAACCCATCCAAGCCTTTGTGCCTAGGTTCCCCAGTAGTACCCTTTTGCCCTTTTTCTTTTTTGGGTTTAGGGTTTAGGGTTTGGGGTTTGGGGTTTAGGGTTTAGGGTTTAGGGTTTACCAAATTGTAGGAACAAGGGTGCCCTTATTATTTAGGGGCTACTGGTGAACCTAGGTGCCTGAAGCCCCTCTTTGTGGAGAGCCAGGTCGGAGCCACTTTAAAGGGATCCTTAAATGGTTCTATAAGGGATCTATGATAGGGTTCCATAGTAGGGGCCTTAATAGGGTTTAGGGTTTAGGGTTTAAGGGTTTAAGGGTTTAAGGGTTTAAGGGTTTAAGGGTTTAAGGGTTTAGGGTTTAGGATCTAGGGTTTAAGGGTTCAGGGGTGTAGGGGCTTAGGGTTGAAGGGTTTAGGGGTGTAGGGGTTTAAGGGCTTAGGATCTAGGGTTTAAGGGTTTAGGGGTGTAGGGGCTCGGGGTTTAGGGTTTAAGGGTTTAAGGGTTTAGGTGTTGGTGTTTAAGAGTTTAGGGTTTAGGGGGGTTGTCCAAGACTAGGGTTTGTTTTGCGTTCCCAAATTATCGGGTGCCGTATTTCAGAGTAGATTTATATGGGGTTCCCCCAAAAAATCATGATTTCGACAGTTACCCAGGTGTTTCTGTTCATGATCGGAAGTGGCCTTTCCACTGGTGCATATATTGCGCATCAGTTGGACCAGGGGTATGGGCTGGGCATCGTGGCCCTCACGCTGGCCCCTTTGGTGCTCGTTGTGCAAACCAACCGAAAGTTCATGAGGGAGGAGAAAAATCTCACTGAATCTTCGTAGTGGAGTTGGCAAGTTTAGAGTTGTTGATTGCATCCTGTTTTCACGTTCTCCTACGGAAGCTGTACATCTGCGGGGGCAACTAAGGTATCGCTTGAGAACTTCGACTTGAGGAATGCAGAATGCCACCTTGAGGCTGACAGGGTCTTCGTCTCCATGGCCATTGCTGCTTGGTATGGGAGTGAGGAGGAGTTTACGGACTATGTCCGGGGCCCGTTGAGGAAAGAGCTGCTCGCAGCCGGCGGACTTGATCTCCCCTTCAGTTATGCCCTCTTCACGGCCATAAGCCCGTTCTGCATGGTATTGGACATCGTTGTGGCCATGATTCGTGGCGGCGCGCCAGTTGATGCTGTGCTCGCCGAGTTCATCGGCGCTGGGCTTGGCGTAACCCTGTTGTTTATGCCAGTGTGTTGCAAAATCGTGTGGTGTCTCTGCAACCGGTGGGCGTCCCCTGGTTCAACACGCCTCTATGACTACTCAGTGAGCCTGGTGGTTTTCGTGATCTTTGTCCTGCTCGTTGCGACAAGCGGGGTTATCATTTTCAGGTATGTCGTTACAAAGTCGCTGCTTGGTGCTGTTGCAGTTTGCAGTGTGTCTTGTGCCCTCGCCATCTTGGCCTATGGCCGGTTTGGTGGATGTCAGCGACGTTGATGTAGGCAGTCGAGTCCCCTTGTTTTCAAGTGGAGGGGACGCTGCTGCATGTGCCGGTCTCACATTGTAGAGTTTTCTAGAACACCGTGAAAGCTGTTCTAGCTTTCTAGCATTTCCAAGGGGTCTCTCATTCTGGAACAAGATGAAGGGATGCTGCAATGCATGCTGAAGGTATGCATGGAGCATGCGCGTCAAGGGACTTGGCATGACCATGGGCGGCACATGGAAACAGGTGGCGCGGGTCCCTGCCACAGATCCCATATAGCAGGATCCTTAATGTAAAAGGAGCCGGTCCTTGTGTGACCACTCAGCCCCTTCTACACCCCTAAAGTAAACCGTAAGCCTAAAGCCCTAAATCTTAAAACCTAGTCCCTAACTAAAGCCCCTTAAACTCCAAACCCTAAACCCCTAACCCCTAAACCCAAAGCCCTAAGCCCTAAAGCCCTAAAGCCCTAAAGCCCTAAAGCCCTAAAGCCCTAAAGCCCTAAAGCCCTAAAGCCCCAAACCCCGCACGATCGAACCGTGGCCCCAGGCCACCCTGGGCCTCGCAGTTGCCCCAGCTGCTGTGCGGACCCTCAGCCTTGCAGTTGCCAAGGGGCGCAGTCCATACTGTTTAGGGTTTAGGGTTTTGGCTAGATAATTACATATCATTTGTTCAGAACAAAAAGACTTATACATACGTATATATATATATATACTCACACATATCGTTTAGGGTTTAGAGTTTAGGGT